CCCCTATAAGATCATTGATTTTTCCGTTTTATCTGAATTACATGTTGTACGAGTCACTTAGATTTTACAAATACGTGTGCCGGGCTGTGAACGGCTCACATATTTGTAAAATCTAAGTGACTCGTACAACATGTAATTCAGATAAAACGGAAAAATCAATGATCTTATAGGGGGATCGACTGTAATTGTGTATGTTTTTTATTCAGATATTAAAACAAATTTTTATTTAAAAAATTATCAGTGCAACTTAATTTTATAATAAATTTGATAAAATATTATTTCAAATTGTCATGTTTTAAATTTACTCAAATATTAGAATAGCAAATATTCTCAATCATGATATTTTTAATTATTTTGCCTTTGTGTCCTATATCTTAATTTAATATTTATCTTGTATACTAGTACTTTATCACCTGTATAGGTGAACTAAATAAAAAATATTATTTCTGATCTGTAAGAATAAATTTCTGCATCCATAAATCCAGTATAATAAGTCCTGTTAATTGATAAAGTACTAGTATACAAGATAAATATTAAATGATATGTTTAAATTTAAGTATAAATAAAAAGTAATTTTTCATTAGAAGTTTCAACAATATGAATTGTAAGTATATTTTTCATATATCAGTTGATATATTTTATAACTCCTACTATTTTGTCCACTCCAGGTAAAATTTTGTTTTGTTGCTCCTTTATGTTACAACAGATAGTATAAACTACTTAATTTGTAGGAATATTAACAACTCTTGAATTTCTTGAAATCTCTACTCTTCTCAATTTTTCAATCTACTTTCTCATAAAAGTATTCTGTCATGCTTGACAGGGGAATTTTTAGTATTTATATAAATGCATATGATTGACAACACAAATAGTTTAATCTCCATGCAAACTCAAATTATTATAAGGCAGTTTGTTTGGAGACTAAGATGTCTCATTGGTTGTTGTTTATAAATAATTCAATACATAAACATTTTTAAACCAGCAGTTTTATTGTTCAAATTCAGAATGTTTGACTTCAGTTATAATTGAAAACCATACATTTGTAAAGATAAAAATTAACAAATTGATATCAAATATGTAATAGAGTTTTAATGTTTGAGTTTTTTAATAGTAGAAACATATTTAATAAAAATATAAAGTGTTATTTTTGGGATAAAAACTTCAAATGTGATAGTTCAGAAAATAAAATGATTTATTGATCAAAATAATAGTCTATCTACTTGCTTATAAAAGTCTTATTTCAATGTGTTTCCGATTTCTGATTGTTTTTTTTAATTAGTTTTTAACACCATTATTTTAGTTTTTTTAAACATGTATTTCTGAAATAATTGTTTTACTTGATTGTTAAAATAGAATAACAAATGATTTATTTTTCTGTTCACCATACTGATAGCATAACTTCTGATTCAACAATAGCACTGTCACCATAAAATATATTATTTAATTTGTCGCTTGTATTGCATTTTTTTTTGGAAAAAGAAAAGCATCAAGTGTTAAATCCACTTTGCTTCCTTTTTAAGAGAACGTTTTTACAGATTTTGATGCCACATTTCTCGACTAAAGAATAGAAACATTTTATATGAAAAAATCCAATAAATGTTTTTCTTGTGTAAATGATGCAATATAAAACTTTCGTTCTCCTGAAAATAAATGAATGAAATTTTAATTAACTGATATACATTAAAATCTTAAATTTTAATGAAAAACAAAGAATTATTTAAAAATAATATGTATCTATTTTTTTTTTCAGGTAATTATTGGACATTTTGGAAAATAAATGTAAATTTATAAAGCATTGATAGCATTGCACATAATGATTACCTGCTAACTGTAATATTACTTAATGTAAAGGTATGTATGCAAATACAAGAAATTAATCTTAAGTAAAATTTATGTTTGATCATCACTGTCATAATAAGTTTTAATCAATTTTTACCATCTGTTGTTAACTTTTACCCACTATTCTACTATCTCTTATTAATTATTTTTGAATGAGAAACATGCCTAGCTTAGCTTCTAAGGCAATGACCCTTCAGGAAAAAAGGTGTGACAAAACTACTTTGCTGTATTATTCTATAAGGTCTAAGATGCAATCATTTTTGAACTCACTATATTAGACATGATGAATTCAGAACTCTTTAGTGAGGTTTAAAAATGGCCAATCAGAAAAACAAAACTTTTATCAGTACAAGCTCAGATGGAAAGAGATGGTACAATCTTGGATTATAACAGTTCAAAACATCCGAGATAGGATTTAAGCCTTGGCCTCAGACTGCTACATACACTACATACTAGTGAACAACCATGCTAAGTTGCTGAAGATCTTACTATGTTCACAGTATGATCTTCCTTACACTTAGATTTTGAGAAAGACAGAATTATTGACTTTATTGACTGTCAAATTATTATAAGGCAGTTTGTTTGGAGACTAAGATGTCTGGTTGCTTGTTGTTTATAAATAATTCAATACATACACATTTTTAAACCAGCAGTTTTATTGTTCAAATTCAGAATGTTTGACTTCAGTTATAATTGAAGCCATACATTTGTAAAGATAAAAATTAACTATTTATCAGGTTGTCATAAAATTTGGAAGTATAATGGTATGGCATCAGTGGACAGAGGAGACCTATATTCACTATTGTTAGGGAACTGGGCCACAAATTCTCATGATTAATTGTATGGAGGACATGCACCCATACTGTATGTTAAGGGCTATTTGTAAATTATATCTGTATTTTTCTTGAAATTTTTAGTCCTCCCCTCTTGTCCCAATTTGTCCAAGTTTCTGTAACCCCTCTCGTCTTCGAAAACTTGATCATCCTTTAAACCTTTATCACCTTATGAATGATACCATAAGTAAAAAGGAAACATATTGTATAAGAAATCTTGAAATAAATATAAAAGAAAGGCATGAACTGTATAAAATTTTATGAAATAAATGGATGTCCACTGAAACCCAACTTCTCTCCTGTTTTTTGTCCAACTTGTAACCCCCCTCCCCCTTCCAGCGTGGGCATCATTTATGGACAGCTCCTTATTAGCAGATTTCACATCAACATCAATGGATCAGACTTTGCCAGTACTGTTTGTTGCTGTTTGATTTGTAGGAGGACTGCTTATCACCTATTGTTGCAATTTCTTTTGACCTTAGAACATAGATGTCATAGACTGCATTTACTTAAAAAATAATTATTAGAACTAGCTTGTATTGTTTCTTTTGCTCTCTCTAAAACACCTGAATGATAATTAGGTGAAGAGCCAAGGATTTTAGAAATGTTTTTCTAAGAAAAATATTAGGATTATATGAGTTGTGTGTGACTTTGACTCCAACATTACCCTTTTTAAAATGTCACACTATGATTACTTTTATAAGAAAGATACCACTGAGTATCCAAATATTTTTATGTAAAATTTCTCTATAAAAAGTCATACTAAAATTGGTGGTGAGAATCAAAAAATTGATATAACAAATTTACCTTGGAAAATCTTTCAAGCACATAGAGAGATATCTTAGCCAAAAGAATTCTACTTTCATTAGTTAATTATCAAAAATTGATTTAAATTTAATCACTTTCAAGGAAAAAAATTAAATACAATAAATGGCAAAAAATAACAATTTGTTGAATGACGTAATAAATTGATTGATAAAATAGTTTTTCTCACTTCAGCTACAACAAGAATAGTAATTTGCTACCAACAGTTGATTAAACTGAAGTATACAACAGAATTTTAAAATATGAAATTTGGGGGAAAAACCAATTAACTTGAATTAAGGGGGTGCAATTGGCTCCGAGAACTTTAACTAGTGAATAATAAGCTGAAACAGTTCTATTAATTACATTTTGCAGTTTTACTTCCTCTTTTAGTTTGTTGCAATTAGATTCTGACTTGAATTTTATTTTTTCATTGTTTTTTTATTGACTGTTTTAAGTCCAAATTATGTTATTGATGCTATAATAGTCATAAATAACTCAAAACTGAAAGAAGGGCAGTGAAAAAATTAATTAGTCAAAAAAACAATTGATAATCAAAGTAAAACATCTGAGATATATAAAAAAAAATATTTCACCAAGTAAAAATTAAGTCACCTGAAATGAAAGTCAAATTTTTTCTTGGGAGCTGCTTCTCTTTGGTAAAGATAAGCCTGGCAATACCATAAGTGTTTACTTTCCAGGCAAAATTCCACAATTAATTACAAGTGTTTGTGGTTTTATCCACTCTGCCACTGGTGGACCTTAAATTAATAAAAACAAATTTCTGAAAGTATAGAGCATGTTGTGTGAGGTATGCATAACATTTTTCCATGAAATGGCCTTTATGGGTTAATATCATTTTGATATCTAAATTTATTGAAGTGTCTGTTTTCGAAGCAATTTCTTTGTCTACTATTTAATTGAAAAGTATTTTTCTTCACATTTTATCAATAGTAAACTTTGAGGTTGGAGTTGCTGGAGTTGAAAGAATTTTACTGACTTTGACTCCACAATATTGGTAGCCATGTCTTTTATAATTTCTTAATTACATAATAATGAAATATGAGATAGAAGTAGATACAGAAACATCAAATTCATGTTAAATTTGTGTAAAAATACTGAATTGCCAAAAATTATCAGTTTATGCAACTAAATTAAATGTAATTTGTTGAGTATATTGTGTATTATAATAATGTCACCTATTGAATAATATAGAATTACAGTTAGATTTGATTTTTAGACATAATATAATGATCATGATTACTTTCATAATTACCTTTGTAAATTTTATATCAGATCAGTAAGAACATTGATTTAATTTCTGAGTTAATTTATAGAAACCATGGAATTAGTAATGTACTATTCCACTTATTATATGAGAATTGATTTAAAATTTATATTAAACAATAAGTAAATTTAGATTTGAGAAGCTAATTTTATTTATTAAATATTCAAAAATAAATTCATATTTTTTAAAATAGAATTTATTAGAATTATAATTCTTCTGTTAGTAATTAAAAAATAAAATTTAAATATCATATTATTGGCACTTTAATACAAATTTTTTTCAATTGACACACACAATTTCTGATATCCATGAAGTTATGCTACCCAAATCAAATGAACTTTATTTCCAATTTGTTATGTCTGTAATAATAATTTATTATATACGTAACATAACTTTTACCTTGGCATGATTTGTTTATACAAAATAAATGTTTTTTTAATAAATAAACAAAAATTAAACTTATTAAATTAATTACGAAATGAAATAGTTTAGTGTTAGTTTGAATTACTCAGATATCTTTAAAATAACCTCAAGTAAGTAGGTAGTGAAATCGTAAACATGTTTTACCACATCTCATCATATTTTTTGTACCAGAAACAATTTTTTTTTATGAATATATACTTATGAATATTATTTGCAGATTTGTGGTGTCCAGTACATTTTGATTGATCCTATGGATGACGAATGTAGCTGACTCAAGAAGAAAAGAAATAATTGAAGCAAGGCTTTTGAGACCCCATATTTGTTGGGAACAGTGGTTCTGTGTATATTTCCCAACTATCCGTCATATTTATTAATCTATCACAAAAAAAATTGTATTCATGAACTTGAAATTTTCAAAAATGATACTTCTAAAATTGTCTCCTGTTTAATTTTATATTGGAAGAAGTTGCAGATTTTAAAAGCTACATTTAATAAAGTGTATACATATCTTGAATAAAGGTTTAGTAGTGTTTAATTTCACTTGACGTTTTTATTTATTTCCTCTTTATATTTGCTTCATATTTTTAAGGATTAGTAATTAAATTAGCAATATTTATGCCAGACAATATAATATATAACCAATATTGCCAAATTTAGCAATATTAAGCAATTTCTCTAAAACGTTTTGATGAGTTAAAAATTGTTTAAATTGTACTAAAAAAACCCTGTAATATATTTAAATATTATTTCTCGACTGTATTATGTTAACATTATGAGCTTAAATTGGTTAAACTGATTGTTCTATCCGATACTCTCTTAAGGGGAATTCCGGTAATGTAAAACATGGAAAAAATTTAGAACATGGGAGAATGCTCTTGCAAACTGCACCCGTATCCGATGCTCTAGTGGTTAATTAAGGTCAACTATTAACTAATTTCAACAGCCCCGCGGGGTTGATGCTAACAAGTATCTCAAATTTGTGATCATTATATTATTGAATAAACGTATGACGTATAAATGCACGTAACAAGTGACGTATTTCTTATAACGTTCTATTAACCAACAATAGATTCGAAATGTTCTTTTTTTAATTGTCGGTAGCCATCTTGAAGTTGATAATTTTCAGGAAATTTCGTCGTCGTCTCGATGCATTCCATTGTTTTTTAAACAATTATGGTTCAGGTGGGTGTGTAATCCTTGTTTTTCCTATGTAAGATTTTAAAATCGTATATAATAACGGATTGAAACGTCTTGGTATTTTAGACCGAAAACTTCACTAAGAATTTAATACTTTCATTAATTTATTGCTGAATTGAATTAATTTGTTAAATTTATAAGTTAAATATTCAAACATAAAGTTATTCATTGCCGTAATAAAGCGGAAAATTAGGCTATATTTTAAATTTGTATTTAACCTATATAATCTACTGTATTTATTTGTGATGATGTAAGCAATTGTTCTTCAATCGTTAAATTTTAAGTGCATTAACATCATAATACAATAGTAATTTTAATGATGTACTGTAAGAGATTTGAGATCTTTCTTGTTTTTGTATTATCAAAGTTTCAAGTTATTTATTGAACGTATCATTTCTTCACTTGGTTCAAATTTCGTACAGTTTCTCACACACTAAGCATTGAACATTGCGGCACTAACGGTAACAGCAAGACCATATTAATTAACCCATGGCCAGGTTCCTAGGTTATCAGGTATTTCGAGTCCCCTCCTGCACTTTAATCTTTCACTCCACTATAACTGACAGCCTGTACCTGGAACGGTAGCTACTAGACAGTATTACATAGCATTTGTAAAGCATCGCTTTCCATCATTAACCCATGCGGCCGACTACATTGCGTTTAGGGATGCCCGCAATATTCATTATTGTGGGCATCCAAATTATAGCCGTCCATATAATCTAAATATTCTATTTTTTATTTATAATTCTTATTTATGCGAGAAGTATCTTTATATATTTTATTACTTTTCCAAAAATTTCCAAACTAGAGAAAATACAGTACTAATAGTGTAATTTAGAAATTTATTAGTTAAAAGAATCACTACTTTTTACTTTTAAAATACAAGATTATAACAATTAGTTAAAACGTTAATTATTTTGAATTATAATAAAATTTCAATAATATTCAAAGTTTGTTTTTGGGCGATTTTTTACATCTTTGACTCTGTTATTTGGCCATTAACTGAAAAAAAGGATCACGTTTTCTTTTCTATAAACAAAAATAGATCTAATTTTTTAAATTTCATTACAATTACTTAACTATTACACCGAATGCGAATTATTAAGTGACTGTCAATAACTAATTTATAATTTTAAGAACGGAATTTCCATCTTCTGAAGTTTGCAAATTGTTGTACAATAACATTCAGGTATGCTTGCTTATTTAAATCTTGTATTGTATACCAAATTAGTACTGTACATTCAATCCATAATTTAAATAAAGTTTATTTTCTATTGCTTTAATTAATTAGTTAAAAATTAAATAGTTTAATATTTAAATATTCAATACTTTTACTAATGGCTCGCTAAACTGAATAAATATTTTTAAAGAGCCAAGCAAAAATATTAGGAAAAAACCTGGCATGTGCTCTTGCTCGTCTTCCTGTTCATTGGAAGAGGTTAAGGGGACCAGGAAAGCGTCGGATAATTTTCAATTTTACTAGGATATAAAATTTAAATAAAAAAAAAAGCTTAAACGAAGTAATTTTGTTGAAATATGAGAAATTTCTTTAAGAGATATTTAAGTTGAAAAAACACTAAGATATTAACACAAGTTAAAATTGTGCTATCTGTTATGAGATTGTATAAAAATAAGTTTTATATTAATTATTAAAATAGGCAAAAGGGTTAATTTTGATGGTAGAGATTAGTTTTTTTCCTTCTTAAATTGTAAAGTCTGACCCACTCGAGATATGACGAATGACCTCACTATATCTCTCCACCCCCTTGACCTTTTACCATAAAATTTAATAGCATCGAAGTCACATATAAAGAAATAATCCTTGCAAAGTTTCAAAATGTTTGGTTCATTCAGTCCTGGGATATAAAGCAAAATAGACTCCCCTCCAGATACACACACAGAAATTTGTAAGGATTTATTTGACTGCCGGATGTCTGAGCGGTTAATAATTCAACTCGAATGAAAAAATATGCACGTGTATTGTACAATAGATACTATACGTGGAATGGTCTTGACTCCACCCTCTATAAAGTAGACCAATAAATTGGTTTGAATTTGTGATAAAAATTATTTCAGACATTTGAAAGCACGGATGCGGGCAAATACAAATATGATTAATCTATTAATTTATTACTAATGTATTTACGTTGAATGCGCGAAATAGTAATAACTTATATGAAAAGGGAGAAAATGAAATTTAAATAAGTGAAATGTCAACTGCGCGATCCATTACTGTAAATAATTCACGGCCGTTCCGTCCCCTTTCTCTATCGGTTTTGGCGGTGAATTCTGATTAAATAATGAATTCAATTTAGGTTAAAAACAATATTGATCGATTATATATATTTTTTGTGCATCTCCGAAAAAGTTTTATACACTCTACTTTGATGTAATTTTCATAATTTCTAAGTAGTATTCAGATAGAAATGTAAACAAGAACTGTTCCTTTAGCTTACAGAATTACCTTCTAATTTTGTTAATTAAACCAATACAAATGTTAATTCAATTACATGTTTAGAAATCTTGAAAAAAGTCTCTTTTGTGTAATGTTATTAAGGAATTTTCAATCTGTCTTCATTAATTCCAAGTATTGTATCATTCATATTAGATTAGTATTATCATTCTAGTGATGTAAATAAATATTTATATACTAGCAGATGAACCCGTGCAAAAAATAATAACGAATATTAAGATTATTAGATTATTTTGTACTTCTTACTGTGTCACTTCTACTATATTATAGTATTTGATTTATATAAGTACAAAGGTTATCTTACGTAAGGGTTTAAGCACACCGAATGCCCAATCTAACATATTTAAAAAATTTTTTAAATTGTGTACAGTAGAGGAAGAAAATTTTTAAAATGTGTTAGGTTGGGCACTTGATATGGTAAACTTTTACGTAGGATATAAATCAAATACTATAATATAACAAATATTAAAACGAAATCATATAAAGAGTTTTTGGTTATTTCAGTCTTCCATTGTCAGGTTTATCGCGACATTCGGATGGTACGAAATGGCACAATTTTATTAGTCAATTAGACGCAATTGAAAATATATCTTAAACTTTTTAAGATATATTTTTTTATAATAGTAACTCTAAGAAATTATTGTACCATTGACAGTCGAATATTAAATAGTGATCTGTCAACGGACCAAATATTTAAACTCGGCACCCTCGAAAACCACTTAAATCATATTTTGTGCTGCCTGGTAACCTTGTATTATGTAATTTTCATCTTCGAATGCTACCATACCGCTAGTCCGTTAGAAAGAAGGGACTGTTGCGGAAAGGGGTTAAAGTAATTCGACCAAAAGTAGTCGTTGAGGGCAACGACTACTAATTAAAACTGATCTATTATTAACATTTGAAAAATGTTCCGTGTTGGATGGGTTGTGATGGCCCCGCGTGAATCGACAGACTTTTACGTAGACAGGGGACGACAATCGGAATTAATAGTTCTACAATGTTTACAAATTGCAACCCAATAATTTTTCCACAAACGCGATATTTACGAGAACACTTCCCGCGTAGTTTACACAATCTATTGCCAAAACTATGAACACTTTATTATCACATAAAAGCAATTCTTCTCGCATTTTTACAAGATTTTTTTTTTATTTATTTAAACAAGTCGTATTAAGTCTTTCGGACGTTAAGGACGGAGTTAGATAACGGGCACGACTCTGCTAACAGGAACAGTATGATGTACAGGGGCAAGACACCACTAAAAGAATTAAGAATATTGTGACGAAAAATTGCAGCCTGGCATTGTGAATCTATTCGGCTCTATATCATTGTCATAATAGTTAAGTAAATATAATATATATTTTTTCATCAAATTACAAAAATAAAATATATTATTTTTTAAAAGTTTTTGCCAATAGATGGCGCTACGCGTAAATTCGGTGAATCGAATGCAAATAGAAATTAATCGATTTATAGAAATCCAATCGATATTTTGGGGTGGGAGGTACGACATTACTTAAGTTAGAAGCATGCGAACGTAACTGTCGAGTTTCGTAGCAATTGGCATATATAGCATTTGGTTCAATTGCCCAAGAGTATATAGCGAACAAACAAACAAACATCCTCATTTATATATACGAGTATATAGAGATTTACTTACACAATTAATTTTTATTCTCTATATTTTAAATAACACAGTTATTTAATTGAAAAATAATTAAGTATTTAAACGGTAATTTAATAAATACATTATATTACTAATTGAAACGTTTTACACTCATGCAATTCATTACCAATGAGAAAATGTAATCAAAAGCTGGAAAAACTGTATTTACAGTTAACTTACATTGCGTGAAAAATTAATTTTAACTAAGCATATACAGTTATAAAGTACACTTTGTTAATAATTAAATTTTTAAAGAGCATTTGTCACGCAAATGTGGCATATTATATTTATTTTACTCTTCCAAATTGTCATTTATTTAACACGTGGAATTTCTTATTGGCAAAGTATTCCATACAGTTGTTTCTTTTATTATGTGGTACAGGCCTGTGCTCTTAAAAATCATTACATTAGGAATTTTCGCGCAATAAAGATAAGGAGACTCGTGGGAAAAATAATGTAAGCGGCAGAACACTCAAAACTTGTACAGACTTACAAAACTTTTTATTATTATAAGCTTTTCCTCAATGTTTAAAGTTGTGCTGTTTCGTTTGCTACTTGAATTCTTATAACCACTACACTTATCATGTTGGAGATGTATAAAATGTTTTTATCAAGTAAAAGACAAGGCGCCATAGGGCAACATGTATGAGTAAACTAGATAAGAGAGAGATGAGGTGTTTAGGTTTTATGATTTTAGGTCTTTCGTGGGTTACTTTGCTCAGTTGGGTGGTGTTTTTCTTATTCATCTGGTGTTACTGGAAAGAGTAAAATATAGTCATCTCATAAAAAATCGCGTATGAGCTAATACGATTTCGCGTTTTTGCTGATTTTACTCGCTTATTTATCTATGGCTTACGAACAAATTTGTGCATTAGAAGTTTGTTTTAAAATAAAGAAATCTATATGTTAATTAATCAATATAACACAATCTGTAATTAGAGCGCGAGATGTTAAGTTAGTCGCAAAAATAGTCCATTATAAGTTTTTTAAAGGTTGTTTTTTTAATTAATGTATTTCTGTCTTTAAATAGATGTTGGTTTATATATTAATATTTAAATAAGTAATGTTATTTATTTGATAAGATGTATATATTTTGCAATATGTTCTCAATTTCGGGCAATACCAATGAGTAGTCCCGAGTCTTCATCCCCTTTATGAAAATGAAAATGAAAAATGTTTTCAATTATTTTCAGATATTTAATTATGATTTTAAGATACCCTCTTGTGAATTTGTAATACGGTTAATCTCGTATGATAAATAATGAACACAAAACAATTATTTGGCAGGAAGCAAGGTTTATTAACAACGTTTGCATGAACAATATGTGGTGATGGATTGCAACGGTTAAAACGAATAAGAACATCACCACAATATACAATAATTAAGAGACCGAATCAACATAATTAAGTTACATATAATAATTTTACTAAATAGAAACTTTTCTAAATTCTTTCGGAATACAAATCATTTAAAATGAATCATTTCCATATAAAATTTTAAACATATTGTCGATCACATAGCGATTTCTTAAATTATAATAAAAATATCAAACATAGCCGATTATAATTTAAATGAAACAACCAGTTTTAACGAAATTATAAATATTTCGTAGTGTCTTATCTTTTTAAAGTGCCTTAATTCCTGGGTGTTATCCTCGTAGCGTCAGTTGGAATAATATTTATATATGTACACTTTCTGATGTAGGAATGATAAATTAAAGACCTGGTAAAAAGCTCTAGTTATATTTGATTAAACCCTTTCTTAATACCATTATCGAATAAAATACAGAAATTAAACCATGTTTGAAATTTTGATGAATTATGATACAGCTCATTCACGGCCAATTATTCTGATAGATTTTTTTTTCATGATTCACCAAGTGCTTCTTTTCACTGAACCCTACTAAAATTTTATAATAATCTATACTCACATACACTTTCAATTTTTGGCGCGGAGTTATAATAAGGCACTACTTTGAAGTTATCCGCTAATGTAATACGATATCAACTTGTACCATTAATTTTAGCAGATACTTCCAAAGTAATTAAGTAATTTTTCAAATAATTTAAAAGTTTTGAAGCTGCTTGCTAAATTTATTTTTCGTACACCTGTATACAACAATTTAATTACCAGTAGGGATTTAACATAAAAGTTTAAATTTAAATGAATATATGCTTTCGATTTCAGGAGTTTGATGTAAAAAACGTCATGAACCACATATTATGAAAACATTTAATATGTGGGGAATGTTAAGTTTGCGGGTATACTGATTATTACCTATGCATTTTCTAATAAGCGGTTCCTAAATGATTGCTGAGATCTATTAACTTGTTTTGGGCAATTATTTTAAAGCGAAACGACATTGCAAAATTTGGAAATAACAAAACATCTTCCTATGAATGGTTTCTAATGTTCAGTGTTCTAGGCACAAAGGCTTTCATCTATCAGAAGACTTTGTTTGGCAAGCAACAAAGTTGAATTTTTGGTAATGTATGATGTACAAGATTTCAAATCGTTTAAATTCACAGCAAATATTTAATGCATAATTTTTAGTAAAGTTTACTAAACGAGTAGAGTTTGTTTTTATATATATATGTATATATGTGTATATTTTTTTCCAAAATCCCTTAATTTCCTTTTCAGATTATTTTTTTGACTGAGTTATTCCAATAATATATAGGCCTAGTACTTTGAATTTCTTTGTTTTTCATTAATTCACGCTGTATTGCAGAGTTAATGTGAAATATTTTTTGATTGTTCGAAACAAAACTGGGGTGAATAAAGATTCACTGACTATAAATGTTGTTTTAACATTTTGTTTACATCGACATTCGACACTGTATCATCCACTGGATGATAATGGAAGCCATTTGAGTGAAAATTACTTTTACTTTTAAAAACAGTATCTGTGCATAGATGGCCAATTTTAGTAAAGTCGTGATTGATTTAGTACTGCACTAATCGAATGGGATAAATATGGAAGAGCTTTTATAAACGTAACAAATTTATGTTACTATACGAATAATTTAATTAAAAATGATATGTGAAACGAAGCTAATTTAATTTACAAAGAAATGTTCTCTTTCCATTTAAATACATTGAAATTGATTGATATACTTATAACGGACGGCATTTATTTTGCCAATAATTTTCAATGTAAATATATTTAATAACATAATGATTAAGTTATTAATATTATTTCAATGTAAAATTTTCGAAAGAGCATTAGATGGTACTAAATTCAAAAAAACTATCACGTAATGCTAAAGTTTAAAAACATTGGAAGCATTGTTGGCACTGTTGTGTATGTGCCTGTTTAAAAGAGAAATTTATTCAACAGGCTTCAAAGAAACATAACATTTCCTAGGAACCGTGTTGGACTTAACAATAGATGAGATATCCAAAGATGCAACCGGCCATTTTAAACAAGTGCTTCAAGGAACAACAGGTTCTCAGAGCCTGCACCATATAAATTATTAGTTACCTCCTTGCAAATGCTGATGTACAGTACATACACAATCATTCATACATGCACACGCATTCATACACTCTTCATTCACACATCAAACAAAACTCGCGTTTGTGTTCAAACAGGTGAGGTTAAACATTAAACTAAAACGTGATATCACCTGTTAATATAGACAGTCATTAACCCCATTATCACTGATTTGAGGCACTAAAAGGGGTCTCGTTGAGGGAAAAATATTTAACATTCTACATTTCCGATTTTGACAATATTTTGACAAAATTGAATTTTATATGGAGATATGCTTTCATCTTTTTAGAGAAAGCATTTCTGCATTAAAATCGCAATGCCTTAATTATTGAAGGTCCATAATCACTGAGATTTTCACAATACTTTCAATTGTTTGTTCAAAATTCAAGGCGATAGGCAGCACAACTTGTTTCGTGATCTTGTAAATTGATTGTACACCTATTGGCTGAAGGAGCGACATCAATTTTGTTTTCAGCCAACAAGTCTTGATTCAAAGCTATCCAATAACCTAATGTATCAGTTTCGTATGTTGGAATAATCGTGACTTCAGCGTCTTTATCTTCCCAAGATCTTTTAGCTTCTAATAACGCGTTAAGTACTTCTTTACTAGGATTTGTTCCACTAAAAACATAATACCGTGCTCTTACACGAAGAAAGAATTCTAAATTCGAGTAATGTGGATCAGCATGATGAGGGACGTAAGTTAAATCAAGATAAACTGGTGTAATATCGTCTTTATCACCTCGAGACTTTTTTGACGATAATTTATGCTTTGGAGACGAAGTGACACTTCTTGTAGGAGAACTAACATTATCTGTAGAATATTTGGTTGATCGTTTCTCTTCTGAGGCTTTTGTTGCTTTAGTTAAAGTTGAAGATTTCATAACTTTAGATTTTGTCGTATGTCGAGTTGAAATTTTTGCATTATCAAAAGTTAATTCTTCTGGAGGAGTTGGAAGCCCAAGTGGCATTTCAAAATTAAATTTCTCATGTTTAGTTGGTAATTCACAAGTAGATGATTTTGGCTTTGCTCCTTGCTCAAATTGATGACTAGTTACAGATTGTTCAGGGGGAGAAGGAAGACCCATTGGCTTACCCCATTCTTTGACGTCGAATTCAGTTTTAGAGGATGAGGACGGTTCTTGAGAATCTTTGGATGACGAAGCTGTCGTTTCTTTAGTACTGCGTTCTATCATCACCTGCTTTAATTCACTAGTTTTTGTTTCAGATTTAGAACTAGAAATTTCTGACTTTTCTTCACATTTTGATTCTGAAATAGTAAGTGCTTTTGTTACAGACGATTTTTCATGCGAAATTTCAGAAGAAATTACTTCTTCTGATAGTTTTCCATCATCTATAATTTGTACTTCGGTTGTTCCATCGGGCTTTTTTATTATAACTTTCTTAGTGACAGTTACAGTACTTGTTGTTGGTGTAACTAACAATTCTTCTGACAATTTCATATCACTGTCATCCTTTACAGTAACTGATGTTTCACTATCTTCAGCTTGTGTTTTTGTTATGGTTTTGGTAACGGTCACTTTCTTTGTTACAGTTGGAGATGATGTTTCAGTTATAACACTGTCTGAGATATCTTCTGTATCAAGTTCTTTAGTTTCAGTGGAGGGAGAAACAGTTTCATCTAACTGATCGTCTCCTTCCAATACTACAACTTCCGTTGTACCATCAGGTTTTTTTCGTATTATTTTACGTATCACAGTACGTTTAGTGATAACTGAAGAATCTTCCTCTTTCACATCTTCTGTGTCAGCGGTATCATCGACCGTTTCTTCGACAACAGATGTTTCACCTTCGCTGCCTTCAGTTTGTGTCTTCGTTACTGTTTTGGTAACGGTCACTTTCTTTGTTACAGTTGGAGATGATGTTTCAGTTATAACACTGTCTGAGATATCTTCTGTATCAAGTTCTTTAGTTTCAGTGGAGGGAGAAACAGTTTCATCTAACTGATCGTCTCCTTCCAATACTACAACTTCCGTTGTACCGTCAGGTTTTTTTCGTATTATTTTACGTATCACAATAAGTTTAGTAATAACTGAAGAATCTTCTTTCACATCTTCTGTGTCAGCAGTATCATCGACCGTTTCTTCGACAACAGATGTTTCACCTTCTCTGCCTTCAGTCTGTGTTTTTGTTATTGTTTTAGTGACAAATACTTTACGTGTCACAGTTGGTGATACAGCTTCAGTCAAAACGATTTCTGAAGTATCTAGAGATTCTTTTGTTTCAGGTGTTTCTGTTAAAGCTTGATCAGGAGAAAGTTTTTCAATACTTTTATCTGTATCACAGATTTCTATTTCATCTAATTGATCATCATCATCATCTAAAATTTGGACTTCTGTTGTACCATCTGGTTTTTTTCTTATTATTTTTCTGATTACTTTGTGTTTTGTTACAACTGTTGGAGACGTAGCATCAATTACTTTGGTACTTGTGTCCGTTTCTGTTTCTGTTGGCATTTTCTTGATTTCTTCCAAATCTTTACTTTCTTTGATACGTTGAACATCTTCGCTTTCTGTAGTTTCTGTTGATTCTGTTACAGTTTCGTCTGGACCTTCTAAGCTTTCTGATGTCGTAGTTGTAGTAGTTCGTGTGATAGTTGTTGTTTCTGTGATATATCTTCTTATTATGCGGATAGTGCCATCTTCCTCTTGAATTCTAGTTTCAATGACGTTTTCATCTGTTTTAGTATCTGTTTCTGATGGCATTGTGAATATTTTCTTCACAACAGTTACACTTTTGGTTTGTTCATCGGTTGTTTTCTCTTCATCTTTCGGTTCTTCTCTTTCTACAGTAGATATTTCTTCATCTATGACTGTTTTGGCCAATGCTTCTACTTTAGGGACATCATCGTGTTTAAGTATGTCACTTGGTTCTGGTTTTTCTCGTATTGCTTCTTCTTTTTCTGTAACTAACATTCGTTTTCCTGAAGGCGTTTCGTATATACTTCCTTTTTCTATTTGTTCAGTTCTGTATATTTCTTTACCCTTTAAAATAAAAAAATAATAAATATATATATACAATAAATATTTGGAAATAATATTCGTCAAAGTTCATGAAATAAATATAAATGCATAGAATAATTGAAAAGTTAATCTGTAATTCTGAAGGCGATAAATGATAATACTTTTAAATGTTCGTGTTTTAAGTATAGATATAGAGTGTATAAAGTATAGATTAAGAAGAGTGAGAGAATTGTATAAATGATATATCAAACTTTGTCGTGTTTTGAAAAATGGATCGATATCGCTAATAGTATAATGCATTGTTGGGGATTATACTGTAGTTTTATTATTTTATTACGGCTTATTGATTACAAAGGATGGTTTTACGATAGGAATTATTCTATTTTCCCTGTCATGATTTACTCTAAATATTTAAAAATTCATCTAGTTGAGTCGACATATATGTTAGGTTAAACAGAATAAAAAGAGCAAAATTAAAAATCTAACACAATTGATTTTCTGAACGTAATCTGAGATATAATACGATTTTTTTTAAATTCGAAAATCCATTAAAATTATCTATCAAACATTAAATTTTAAAATGTTTTCAATGAAATTTGGGTGTTGATATATATTTGTAATATTTTAATATTTCAATTCATTTAACATATAAAATCCAAACAATTGAAACAATCCAAAAGATATAAAATAAGTTAAAATGAAATTTTTATCTTATTTTATATGTGTTGCATTTTATTTCTTACAACAAAAAATTAATGTATTTCTTCAAAAGATTCATTTCTGGATGTTTTTTCAATATACCCGTAATCAAAACTACTGTATATAAGTAAAGACTGTTTAAAACGGAACCTGAATAAAACGGAAACCTGTCTAAACGAAAAAAGCTTCTATGAAATAATGAGTAACTAGTACCGAGTTTTCGCGAACAAGAAATCTTAATATTCTAATTAATCGTTAATTTAATGTTTGTAATTACCATAAACTTGATGGTAATTACAAACATTAAATTAACGATTAATTAGAATACAGTATTAAGATTTCTTGTAAAGTCAGATCACGATAACTTGGTCTCTGTATTTCTAATGCGATTATAATTTCCGACGGCAGAGCAATACTCTAGTTCCTGATTATCAAATTGGCCTTTTTGTTGCCATGTGAAGTAATTTATGGATCTTGCATGGAAATTTTGGTATTCGAATACCTAGCAAAAGTTATTTTTATTGAATGGATCTCAATTGACAGTTGAAACTAAAGAACAAAGTATTCGAATTGTATCGAATACCATTCTTTAATTGGAATCACTTTAGATTAATTTTGTAACAAAGCACTAAAATGTTTCTTATCTATGAAATACGTGAGTTTACTACAACAATGAACATAACTGCAACATTTATTTAGTAGACTTAAAAAATACTAAAACGAGTTCAAAACTAAAACATGCGAAAACAAAATAAGATTCGTTGCTGCGCGATTCCGTTTTATTTTATCATAAAATTACTTCAATTATTATTTTAATTATTAGATAATAAAAATATTTGTACAAACTTTTACAGAAATAATTGAAAAAGAAACGTTTTCGTAACGTACGAAAAATGTATTATACGGGGGGTGCAAAAGAAGGTATACAATTGAGAATCTGAGAAACACAAATGTTTGGTATTCATTATTATTATTTTTATTATCTTTTATTAGTTCGTATTCCTTATTTGTGATTTAATTTGTACATAAAAAATAAATGTTTTTTCTTCCTATTTTCTCCCTGTATGTTTTTTCCATAACAACAACTGTACACCTACTTTTGCAACATCTGCATATAAAAATCCATAAAATTATTGTGATGACGTCGAATAATTTTATCGATTTTTATATATAATACTTTACAGCGTGCAATTTTTAATTATATTTACTTTAATTAATTATTTTATTTACTTTAATATATTTGTTCTCGACTTTAGTAGTGTCTGTCCCCTGTCCATCAGACTTTTCCTGATAACAACCGAGAAATACCAATCATCTTTCTAACTCCATCATGGAGAAAAAATTTTCAATTGAAATCATATCACTTTTGGTCTAGACCGGAGGTTCATATATAGTTAATCGGGGCTTCCTGTCCAAAAACTTTCCATACTCGTCTCGACTTAGATATAGCTAACTCTGTTCTCAAGATTAACGAAGGATAGGAAACAGATAGACGCCAGTGGAAAGTTATAGGTCTGCAATTAAATTGCAAACAGGTTTCCGTATAAATAAAAATGAAAACAATAGAAATATTTTAAAAACAAAAGATTATTTGTAATTAAAAACTGCTCTCTCAATATAAAATACCGAGCTTAAAATCGTTACTACACTTCTCTATCACGAGAAAAAAACAAACGACGGTAGTGAAAATCGAAAAATAATAATTAAATTTTTGAAAAAGTAAAACGAATACTGTTTGACAAGCAAGCGAAATTAGTGAGAGTTACCCATATAAAAAATAGTAATAAATAAATAATATATTAAGCACAATTCTCACATTACATCACATAAATATGATTAATATAATATATAGGTAATAATATATTCACAACAGTAAAACTATAAATGTTAAAAAAATTATCACAAAAAAATAAAAAATTAGAACCCACCTTCTCAATTTCCTTTTTAAACTCAGATTTTGGAGAAACTTTTTTTATTGGTAATACATCTTCACATATATCTGTTTTATAATCCTCTAAGAAAACATCATCTTTTGATGATAAATCACTCGCACTTTCAGAAGCCTTAACCTCTTCGACCTCTATAGTCTCTTCGACAAAATATCGATCTACAGGTGAAACAACTTCAGGAGAAAAATGCAAAATTTCACCAACATCACGTCTTTCATCACTTACTATTTCAGAAATAACTTCTGTCATGCTGGAAATTTCTTTAATAACAGCATCTTCCAATTTTTGAGTCTCCAGTATTGAACAAATACCAGTATCATCTTTTCTTGAAAACGAAGAAAGAACATCATCCTCAGGAAAGTATTCATCCTCAGAACTTGGTTTTTCTATAATTTCTTCTATTTCCTCAGTTACTTCAATGGTCAAATATTTCGAAATTGAATCCTCCTTCGGAGAAACAGAAATTTTCGGTGAATCTGATACATAATAGGAACCATCGACGAAATCTTTATCATCAACCTCATCACGAAGTAATTCCTCAGGTAAAACATCCGGGATCACAACGAAAGATTCCTCGATAATTTCTTCAACATAAGTTTCTTTACCACTGTCAAATGTCACAGGTTCTAATGAAGGTATTATTTCAACAAATTCCTCGGAGGGCGAAGTTTTCGGTTCTTCACCTACAGGCGCTTCTAAAACTTCGACAAACTCTTCAATCAATTCTTCCACTTCGATGTCAGATTTAAATGATTTTGTTTCCAAAACATCGAATTCTTCCAGGACTTCTTTTTTGATTTCTTCTTTAGGTGATATTTCTGGTTTTTCTGCGATCTCTTCTCTCGGAGAAACTACTTTCTCCACTGCAGGTTTGGCTTCGATTTCTTCGATCTCTTCTTTAGTGATTATCTCAGTCACAACTTCTTCTTTTGGAAAGACCGCGGGCTTCTCTACGATCTCTTCGACGACTTCTGTGACTTCTTTGGCGACAATCTCTTCTTTGGGCGATATTTTCTCTACTTCTGGTTTTTCTGCAACCTCCTTCACTACTTCCGTGATTTCCCTCACTTCCACTTCGGTGACCTCTTTGGTTACGATTTCGGTGACGATTTCTTCTTTGGGTGAGATTTTGGCAACTTCGGGTTCTGGGACGGCGACTTCAACGACATCTTCCTTGGTGACCTCGGTGATTACTTCCTTTTTGACTTTTGTTACCACCTCGACTTCCTCGGTCACTTCTTCTTCTGTGACTTCAGTGGTAATTTTTTCGACGGTGATTTTTTCTTTGGGTGTGATTTCGACCTCCTCCACCTCCTCTACGACTTCGGTAACAACTTCTTCCTTAGGAGATATTTTGGCCTCTTCAACTGCAGGCTTCTCGACAATTTCTTCCACCTCTTCGACGAGTTCTTCCGTGTTCTTCCGTTACGACTTCCTCTTTGGGTGGCACGGCTTCGGGAACTTCGATTTCTTCGGGTATTTCTTTTTTGATTTCTTCTTTAGGTGATATTTCTGGTTTTTCTGCGATCTCTTCTTTCGGAGAAACTACTTTCTCCACTGCAGGTTTGGCTTCGATTTCTTCGATCTCTTCTTTAGTGATAATCTTAGTCACAACTTTTGGAGATGGAGGTTGTTCTTTGGTATCTGGAATTTCTTTTTCTGCACGTTTTTGTTCTTCTGTTTTGATTTCTAAATGTTTTTTGATTGGTCTTATTGGTTTTGGTACTGCTTCTATTTTTTTTTGTTTTTCTGGAATTGTAGGTTTTATTTTCCTTTGTTTTTCTGTTTCTATGATTTTTTTCTTTTTTGTGACAAGTTTTTTCTGTTTATCTTTTTGTGGTAGTTTTTGTTTTTTTGGTGATGTTGGTGTTATCATTTTTTTAGGTTTTAATACTTCGATATCTGCCTTTTCTGTAATTTCTTTTATTTCTTTTTTCATTGGTGGTTGTATTTTCTTCTTTTTTTCTGGTGTTATTGGTATCTTTTTTGTTTCTTTGCGTTTTGTGATTTCTGTTGGTTTTGCTGGTGGTATAGTTGTTTTTTTTGGTTTAGTTACTTTTTGCTTCTCAGTTGTTTCAATTGGTTTTGTAATTAATGTGATATCTTTCTTTTGTTTTAGTTGTGTCAAGGGTTTCTTACGTTTTATTATTTTTACCTTCGTTTTCTCTGATTTTTTTATTGGTTCTGTCTCAATTGTTTTTGTTTCATCCTTTTTTTCTTCTATTTCCGAAATTTGTTTCTCTGCTACCTGTTGTTCCTCAGTAATTATTTGTTCTTTTTGTTTTTCTATAATTTTTTCACCTTTTTCTTCTGTCTTTAAATCTTTTTCTGGTTTTGATGTAATTTTCAATTTTTCTTTTTTTTGTGTTGCAAGTTTTCTCATTTTAGCTGTCATTTCTAGTTTTCTTTTAAGTGCTCTTTGTTCTAGTGTTTTTGTTGTTGGGTGCTTTAACTTTTTTATTATCTTTTCTTTTTCTCTTACATATTTCTTAGGCGTTTCATATTGTTTAATTGTTAATTTATCTTTTGGTTTAATTTTTCTTGTTAGCGAAAGTTCTTTGACACTTGTTATTCGTTTTCGTTTTGGTGATGGTTTTGCCACTCTTTTTACCGTTGTGATTTTTTCTTTAGTCTTTTTTATTGGACTACGTATAAGTATAATATCTTTTGGTACTTTTTCTATTTTTTGTTGTTCAACTGCTTGCAAATTTTTTAGATCTTTTACACCTTTTGTTGTTGGCATTTTTTGTATTACCGTGTCTTCGATTGGTTTTTTTCCTATTTCTGTCTTAAATTTTTCTTCTTTCTTTGAAAGTTTTATCTTTTGAACTTTTTTTGGTGATAGCGTTGTGATATCTGTAATATTAGCATCACCCATACCAATTAGTTTATGTTTAATGTCTTGAGGTAATGTAAAGGGAGCGTGATCTGTTGGAATTGTCGATGGAGATTTCATTACTGCTATAGATTTCAAGTATGCTTTGTCAAATTCGGTTTTTTCACTGATAGTTGTTTTTAATGACGTAGCTGTACAAGTTCTATATTGTAATAATTTAAGATCTTTTAATTTATCTAAACCTTCAAATATCCTGTTTTGTGGAGCACTTCCAGGAAACATTATACGAGTGATCGTATCTTCTGGATCAGCTGGCTTCCATATAATTATTGCACAGATTGACATGAAATGTGATAAAGGAAAACATAGTTCGTGAGGCCTGATTGATGTTTTACTAGAAAAAAATTTTTCTTTAAGTGTTTGCCATTGATGAAAAAATTCTCTTGTTTCTTTTCCATCTTTTGAAGGACTTAAAACATACATTTCTAGTGTCCCATGTCCTACTTTATGATAGAGTGTCAATGGTTCCATTACTGGACCTCTAAGGCATCTGTGAGGTTTTAAATCTAAATGGTGTAAATTTTTTAGAAATTGATAACCTTCGGTAATTACACTAATTAATAAATCGTCTTTACTCGAGTAAAAATCATCAGATAATGATTGTTTACATTCAGCAATATTACAAAATACATAACCTATTTGAGGATAAACTTTTTTATTTACCTTTCTTTTTAACAGCGTCGTAACTCCACATAAATTACTTTCACTTAATCTTGTAACCACCATTGCATCTAATCTATCCAAGTGTCTGATGAATTCCCAAAAACATGGTTTCCTTGTATAGCCACCATCGAATAACATATTAAATCCACTTACGCCAAACAAAGCACAATCACCTTGTCCACCAGGAAAAACATATAAAGTAGGTCTACTGAAACGAATATTACCAACAATGGATGAGGTTTTCATTAGTTGTTCCAAAGGATGACTAATTAACACACTTTTTAAACAGTCAATAATGGCTTCAGATCCCGGAACTTCCGAGACTTTTTCGCTTGGATTGATGATTATTTTTACATTTTTGTTGAATATTTGCTTTTGAATTTGAGAATTTGTCCAATCACCTTCTGAAATACAATGAACATGAACAGAACATCCTGGATAACACATTAGCACCGTTTGTACATCCGCATCTTGAAAGGCATCAACAAAATCACCAAAAGAAAATGTACCGTCCTGTAGTATCCAGGAACCAGTTGAAGAAAAGGCATAACCAGCGTGAATTAAATGTTTATGTCCAGTCACAGCAACTAATAAATTCTTTAAACATTGTTTTAATGTATTAACTTGTGGTTGCACAAGAATTTCTACAGCTAATAATTCCGTTGAGTATTGTAGAAGTAATTCTGAAAGAAATAATAAATGTATTAATTTATATAGATATTTGTTATTTATCCATTATTATTAAAATCTTAGCAATTTAAAAATTTATATATAAATAATGTTCATTAATTTTATATTTTATGCAATGTTTATATTATATATTTTATATTTTAACATATTATATATTTATTATTAACAGATTAATTAGATTAATTTCATAATTATTATTTTGTCAAAGTCTTACAAAAGAAATAACATAAAATTATACTTTAATTTAAAATACATTTCATTTTACAAACATTTCATTTATAAAAAGGAATAATTTGTCTAGATAGTTTACTAATTGAATTATGTTATTTACATTAGAAGAATGAATTTATATTTTCCATTTTATTATTATTTTTTAATTAAAACGTTTGGATATTCATTTTTGATTTATATTTTATGGTTTTTATCATAGTTAATACTCATAAAATATTTACAAACATTGCTAATTTGAAAATATTTTCAAGTTTAAAACTGTTAGGTTTTAATATCAAGTTTCTTTACGTTTTAATTTTGTGTTGAAAATACACCTTTGTTTCATTTCTTTAATCATTTAATTGATAAATAAATTAAGTCTTAATTATGAATGTATTTTAAGTAATATTTGTGTATAATTGCATATTTATTCGTAGAACAGAAACAGAGTTAAGTTGACATTTGTTTAGCCCAATTGTGAAATGACCTATGGACAATCAGATCCTTCACTCGTAAACAGAAAGAGACTCAAGACAATGTCTCCAGATGGAAAATGGACAGAGGGACTACCTTTCTAAGTTCCACTCGAAAGTCAACGCAAAATTTTCTTGTTTAATAATTAGTTATTAGGCTATTAGTTAATAAATCAAATAATTTTCAAAATATTTCGAGTAATTTGTATGATTTTACGTTTATTATTTCAAAGTATCATGATAAAAAGATCATAAAAAATGTTACGGAAGGAAAAATATAGAATATATTTACAGTTGATAAGTATGATAAAGAAATTTAAGCTTACCAACTATTTAGCATACATTTGCAATTTTAAGCACATTTGCATATTTAATATGTATTAAATATACAAATTAATTGTATATTTAACTAAACAAAAGTGAATATGTATTAAATATACAAATTAATTGTATATTTAATACATATTCACTTTTGTTTAGTTAAACAATTTCTAAAATTATTAATTGTTTTGTATTGAAAATCACAACTATTCCATATTTTTCACGTTCCAACAATGATTCTTTATATTCATGAAAAAAATGACAAACATTATATGGAGAATGTCCCACAAACAACACGGCTTCAATAAACGGTTAATATATGCATTATTAATGTATTAATAGTAAATTTATTTAATCTTATTTGCATTATTAATTTTTTATTAAGGTACCGAAATTCATTATTACATAAGGTAATGCAGACGGAAAATTTAAAATGTGATGATACCAAGCGTGAAAACTCGAATTAAAGGAAACTTACTTTATTGATAGAATGAGCAAATGCGGTGCTTAATAATAATTGTTCAGTTTCAAGTAAGGGTATCTGTTGTAATAATGTTCTACGTAACGAAAAATAGGAGCTAATTATAAATCGATACGAAACCCTTGCTTATATTAAATAACCTATAAATTATTGCACTTTGGAAGACAACCATCGTTTAGCATATCTAAGCTAGAGTCAAAGATGAGAAATGTAACTAAGTATAGTATACTTTACCATATGAAAGGATTCTAAAGTTTTCTGTGCCAATTACTTTCTTGTAGGTATAATTCAATCCTTTATCATGAATTAGATGAGGAACAAAGTCCATGTAATATGGGAAATGACAGAGTAAAGCCTAATGGAGCAACAGATTTACGAAAAACTGAGAAAAATAAATCGCTACATGTCCGACTAAGATAATTTCATTAAATTTGAATAATATTAACAAAAACATATCATGAAGTTCAGGAAGTCAATACTTTCAATTACATAAAGGCTTTCGATCAAATATCTGATCATCCTCAATTCATAACAAATAAAGTATTTTTTAATTAAAATGCATCAAATTTGCAGCACAAAATTAAAAATTTCCATATTTTTCAACATTACGCTTATGTGTATATCATCTATTTAAAAGATTATAATATTTAAATATTATCTTTAAAAAGATAATATTTAAATATTAATAAGTAAGCACAGCGTTGCACGCGCAAAAAATAAGAACAAACATTAAGATTAGTAGCTAATTTCGTACTTCTAACCCTTCTATTGTATTATATTATAGAATTTTAAACTACAAAGTTTATCATACATAGTCGATCTTACTTGTTTTTACCGGGTGCAAGAATTATGTCACCCGTCTTCCGAGGCTAATTAGAGAATTTTTAGATGGATCTAAAAATACGTTCGATTTAAGCAAAAAACCACATGTAAAATAAAACAGTAGAAGCCAAGTTCTTCAGTGTAATCCTTAACTCTCTCCCTCTCCCCCGCGGGGAAATTTCAAAAAATTCCTTCTTAGTATGCATTCTCATAGCGTATCTTAACTCTGTACCAAGTTTCAACTTTCAACTCCTAACCGTTTGGGCTCTGCACCTATCATCATCATCATCATCATCATCAACCCATCTCGATTACATTATAAGATTATAAACAGCCAATTTTAAACAAATCTTTTTTTAATAAATCACGCGTTTTGCTAGAAACGATTAAATGTTAGAGGAGAAGGTGGTATTATGGAACCCCAATTACATTTTAGTGAATTGTAAACAAAGTATCATAACTACACCTACAGTTTTTGTGCGAAAAGTACCGGTAACTAGTAAACTAAATGTTCCTAATTGGATTTTTCGCTAGTATAATTATAAGTATGGTTTATGAAAGCTTTTGTACAAAAAGTCCGAAAGTAGGCTTAGAGAAAATCGGGTGGTAATATGGAACCTTACTGTATATTTTCAAAAAATGCTTTAGGAAACAAATAGGAAAGGACAAAAAATGTTAAATAATTACCAAATTATTTACTCCAATGTATTTTATCGCAAAAATGCTTTTATAATAGAAAAACATGACCTCCGTCAACAATATATATTCCAGCAGATCTTTTTCGATATTCTCCGGAAGAATTGGCTTTCTACCTAGTGTCTTTTTCACAAATTGCACCGGAGGAATGTCTGCTTGCAAATAGAAAGTTCGGAGGAGTTGAGTTCCATATTACTGTAAAAGCACCAATGGGGTCCATATTTCACGCATCGCCATCTCGAATTAACTTATGTCTGTCAAGACCAAAATTTAAAAAACGTGAACATCACACAGATTAATATGTACCCCTAAGTCTCTGGAACGGAATACATGCACCAGTGAACCTACAACTACACGATTTATATTTTAAAAATAATTAAATTCACTTAGCATTCAAAACTTGCGAATTTTGAAAAAAACAAATTTGCTGATTAAATACCGACAACTGTTTAACTGAAGTAAAACGGGGTTTCCCCTGCTATGGATGTCTGCCTAGTTCAGTTCAGCCACATTCCGCTACAGTTTGCCTTTATTATCAGTTCGAAATGAGATGGTTCCATAATACCCGCAGTGTTCCATAATACCACCTTCTCCTCTATATTACGTGCATGAAAAGATTAAATGTTATATTGTATTATGAAACTTATATTTAATGTCACCTTTTTAATTCTCAGTTTCATATGTCAACATGTATGCAATTCAAGAGTAGATCTTCAGAACACAACAAAGAAAGTACAAAAATTATATTTTGTCTGTTATGCCCCGAAAATTTATTGTTCAATAATGAAAAAATAAAAATAAAAATGATAAAACTATAGAAAAACCGTCTCTGTTATATATTTTCAAAATTAAACTATTTTCTTATAGAGTTTGCAATTATATAACGATTTGATATAATATTTTCTTCTATATAATTCGTTTGTTTTGTTTTTATGACACGAGTCCGGTCCAATATTGAGTACTTGTTAATAATAAAGTCATGTTCCACAGATTCGATGAATTGAAGAAGCCGAAAAAGTTGTTATAAAAGATCATTTTGTTCCTTTAAGTACTTGTCAATTTTATCAAGATGAACAATGGTTTTAGTGAAAAAGCATTAAAAAAAACATTATAATCAATAGGATCGTTTAACGCTTCTGAACAACATAAAATATCACAATAGAATCAATCTATTGTAATCTCCTGTATCAACAGAAAAGAACAAAAGCGTATAATAGAAATGTCGATAAAAAGACAGTTAGGAGAAAATAAGAAAAGTAAAACGAATTTTCTTCATTTTTTATTTATTTTCCTGTTAGTTTAGAACGGAATTTATATAAATTATTCATACTTTTGATTTTAAAAAGCGAATTTTTATCACTTGAGATTTGCATTCAAATTAATTAAATCTAAATGTATTTTTATGTTAGCATAATAATAGAAGATAAGAAGCAAAACTATATCGAAATACAGTTAAAATGAAAAAAAAAATCTAACCCTGAATTATCCTGCAACAGTTTAGTAATTTGTAATGATTACAAAATAATTAAAATTAATATCATATTACTCGTATGTTTTACTAGTTCAATTTTGATTTTCCTCTTTTCGTTTTCGCTTTAATTCCGATCATTATGAAAACGAATAAACTTTTTGTTTTTTATTTTATAATTTGATTTAACATGCAGATAAGATAAGAAATTAAATAATGTACTAAAACAAAAGAAGAAATATATCTGATAATATTTGAACAATTTTAAAGTTTTAAAGTTCTATAAATGAAAGAAAATAGCAATTACAATTTAATAGAATATATACAGTATAAACTATATATTCCATTATTATTTTTGTCATTTTAAGTAATTATTCAAAAACTCAATATCATAAACAAGATACAATTTTATAATAATTGATAATGTTATTATTTTCTATTTAGTTTTATTCGGCAAAATGGTTTTTGGCCTGCACTATTTTACCAATTAAAATTTATTTTCAATAAAATTAATTGTATTGATTTGATATTAGTTTCAACGGTTTAAAACGCATCTTTTATATAGAATTTTTTTTATTTTTGTGAAAATTGTTAAAAATTTTATAAAAAGAAAATCATATCTTTGCTACAAAGTTTTTATTTTTTGCCTTCAATATATAAAATCTTATAAATTTTCCCTAACAATTTATAAATCTAGCATAATGTATTTTTATTTTATTTATTTTTAAATTCATTATTCATTTAATTTTGTTAAAATAATTAACATTAACATAAAATAATCAAAACTCTTACCGTTATCTATTTCCCCTGCTTCTTTTATACTATCACATATGTTTTCTAGGCCTTTCAGATCACAACCTGTAGTCTCAATATCCCATGATAAGAGACCTAAAATATAAAAATAAAATACATTTGATGAGATAAAATTTTATAAAAACGAACATTTATTCCAGTTACTTCTTTCATAATTATAGAAATTCATTTTTAAAGGCATTTAGAATTACAGAAACTTACCACTTGTACTGTATATTAATATATATATATAAAACCATCACCTTTCATAAATTAATTAATTTTGTTATAAACAAAAATATGTAAACATCTTAATGGAAATTTAAAGTAATAAAATAAAAATGGAAATTTAAAAAATACAAATAACTGTTGGGAATACTGTATTGCAATTGTATTGCTAAAAATACCTTTTTAAAATCTAATAATAGTTTATAAAAACATAATACAAAGAAAATTATTTTTATTTAAAATGACTAAATGAATAAGGCCGCTAAAGCGTGACCTGAGGGACCGAGTTCAAAGACAGATCTGATCTCCAGAAATATTTTGAGTAATGTGATCCGGATACGTACGGATCCACACAATCTTTACCATCCTCCTTCTCATTGTGGGCCTGACATATACTCATCGGCAATAATTGAAACTCATTCACATGTTTGAAGTGTAAAAAGTTAATCTGTAATCTAGTTTTTCATTTCGGTACATCTAGTATCAATATATAGCCGCTTATCAGCCGAACCTTCAATCTACACGTACAATTTTATTGTCCCTTTTCAGGTTATCACCGAGTCTTTCCGAAATCAATAAACTAGTTGAATCTGTTACCTAAATCTCTTGGCAGCCGTGATGAACTCCATTTTGGTTTCACTGAGAACACGCTGTCAATCGACTCATAGTAGTTAGGACAAGGCGAAGAACAGAAGACATTGTTAAAATCCTTAGGCTTATATATTTAGAAAGGCACTTCATAGATTAATTTGTTAATTTATTTATGTTTCCGCTAACTTCACGTGTTAGCTGATCATGCATGGCGCCATTTTTAACTATATACTACGCCCTCTACCAGAATTTACACTTATCTCTTAAATATAAAAATGTCTATACTTAAAAAATAATTTTTAAGGACCAACATTATCGTTTAATAATGTAATTGCGATGATTAAAAATTAGAATATATTCGTTATTCTATTTAATAAATATATTATAATTAAGATTAATTAATGCTGTTTGACTCATATTTCATATTTTCAGTCTTACAAATTTATACAGAAAAGCGTTATAATAAATGAAAGATTAACATAAAACTCTAATAAAATAGATTTAATTAATAATATAGAAAAAATAATTAATTTTTACGTAAATATTACACAAATAATTAGATTTATACTGTAATCGGGATTTTTTAAAGCAAATTTATTATTNTTATTTCATAATTTATTTATAACCAAAACTTTGAATTAAAAGCAGAATAATTGAGTAACAAGAAAAATAATAAGATATAATATTTATTATATACTTTATAATACTTTAATTAATTATCATAAATATATTCGAATAAGTTATAACAATTTATAATTATAATTCATTCGAAAATATTTATGATGATTAAAGTTTCATAAATTATAAGCTAAATTGGTATCTTATTATTTTTATTTGTTAATCAATTAAAATTAATAAGATACAATTTAACCTTTAAATTAAATCAAAATACTCAATTATTTTGTTTTAAATTCGAGGTTTGGATGTAAAAATGTTATAAAATAATATTAAAGATACGTATTCATAAAATCATATAGTATTTTTAAGAATAATATAAAATAATTAAAAAGTTTATTAAATTATTAAATTATTTGATGTAATAATATTATAGTAATTTAAGAGGCTGAGTCTGAGTAAGTGAATAATATTATATTCAAACAGCATGCTTTCATTTTTACAGTATTTTCGTTATAAAAAATTTAATTGGACACAAATATCGATTAAGTGAAAAATAAAAGATGGATCAAAAATGCAATATATTTTAAAATCCAATTTATAAATATTCATATATATTTACATAATGGTAAAAATTTATTGTTGAACGATGATTCATTCATGATACATATTTATAAACCATACGTTATTAGATATATAATAAATATTTTATAACTAATTGAACGAATGTATCTCAAATATATATATATATATGTACATAAAATTAAACGAATTCTATATAAAGAAGTATACAAATGATCCATATTCGAAACATTTTAGTTTTTAACTAACAGAATCGCCTCTACAGATTTGAAAAAAATTCAGATAGAACAGAAAATTCTAAAAATAAAAAATTCATAACGTTTGGCATAAAATAACTGAAAAATTTCTAATAGATTAATAGCTAGAAACTTATTACGATGAGTGGATATCTCTAATTCAAATCGTGACCTAATACTGTTAAAGAGGTGGTCAGGTTTGTCACACTCTCGTGTAGTTTAAAATTAAATAGCCTAACTAGTTTTATAACTAAATTAATATTTTACTGAATTAAGTTATTCTTCGCATAAATTTCCACTTATAATTCATTAAAGACAGATGTTGAAACTAGAAAAAGTTTTTAAAAAAATTATTTATTTATATTATGAAAAGGCTGTTACTTTATCATATATAGATTAATTAATTAATTAATTAATTTCCAACATTTTGAATGTTGATTATAAGATAAAGGGAGTTCCTAAGTTGTCAGATCTCATTACTCATTTTATGTCCTTTGAGACAATAACGCAAGAATTACAACTTGTATTAAAGTAGAGTACATTATAAAAATAGTATTTAAAATAGTATTTTTCGATAAAGTTTGTATTCAATTGTTTCGATAAAGTGGATAGAGTTAGTTATTTCATACACTTAGCATTAAACTTGTACTTTTTAAAATAGAATTTTATATTCTTATATATTGAAAAACATTATAGTGTTTCTGAAATCAATAAATATACAGTTGTAAAAAATATATTTCTATGCTAATATTAAGTAAGTAGCATTAATTTATTACGATATACAGTACATTGTTACATTATTATGTTATGGAAATTTTAATTAAAATTTGTTTTTAAAATGTTTTATATAAATTATTCACTATAAAATAATTGTTTGTTTGCTGCTTTTACAAAAAATAAAAAAATATTTAATAAATACTTTGAATTAATAATTTTTTTCGTGCGTTGATTGTAAAATTTGAATTTGTTAATATATTAAAATATCGAATCATTAATTTTCCAATAATTTAGAACAAAGAGGGTCCGGTATACAATGTCCGACATGTTTACTAATTATTTTTGTAATTTAATGTATAAAAATAATACACTTTTATTACATCTACTTAGCATAATGTATATAAAATGTAATTGAGGTTACCGTTACTTTGAATGAAAAATTTAAATAACTACGTATTTTTCGATCGATATGTTTAAATAGGATTGTATATTGTAACCCTCGCGTGTAACTAAATAAAATTTGCATATTCAGTTGGTAACATTGATAACGATGATTTTATGCAATTGACCTTTGCATATAGAGTACGGTTACTGACATTAAAATGTTACAACTCTTCTCTGCTTCCTTTTAAAAGATTGGCAAGAATTCCACTTGAGTTATAATAAACAAATGCAAATTTCATAAAACTTTTTACAGCTTATCAATTGATTTTATATATTCAGAGTTATATTTGTATTCTTTATTATAATCAATATTTCAGACTTTTTCGTTCAGCGATTAATAATGATCTTTAACAGAGAAACATTCATTTATATCACAAAGAAAATTATAATTGCAGAGAAAATAAATAATTAAAAAGATAAATGCTTTTTACGATTTTTAAAATTTAATATTATCATTTTTTTAAAACTGAAATATTTCATTATAATATTTATCAATAGAATAAAAGAACAATGCTTCTATATTGTTCCTTTGTTATGTTTTTTACATTCTGCATTGTGATTTGTTCTTATATTCACTCTAAAAACTGACTAAATAGTTCTTAAAAATTGTTATATTATATTTTGAAATTAGTATGCATGTGATGACTTAGAATCAATGAAGTAAACTTCAAAGAAAACTTTGCGTGCTTATCTCGTTAATTCAATACGACCTTTTTGCGATTATATTTTTCAACATTGAATACATTATTTATACAGTTTTAATAAGAATTCAATTGAGAAAAATATGTTTGGTTTGAATTAATATCAAGCACGTCCTTTAATAATGCTGTAATTAACTTAACTATTGAGATATACTTAACCTCTATTCTAATAAGTAAATCGATTACCTTGATGATAAAAATTTAATTATACCATAGATTATATCTACATTATAATTTAGTAGATATCAACGTATTACATCATGTGAAACTTGGGAAAATATTTTGTTTAATGAACTGAACCTAAATACTTAAACTGTAGAAAAATCTAATTTTAAAAGAATATTTTGTAATTACTCAAATTTTTTCCATTGTTAGTTGCTAACTACAACTCGTATTATAAATTTTATACGATAAAAATAGATATTTTTGAGGAAAAACATGTTAAACTGTGGAATTTCTTGTGTCTGATATTGTACAAATATTTTAAGAATAAAGTATCGAAAATAAATTAGGAAATTTCATCATCTTTGAATTATTATTGTTTCTAATCTATTTTTACATTCGGAACAAACAGTCTCTAAATTTCATTTTAAAAAAACAAGGTCGTTTTCTTAGTTTTTCTCAGGGAGGAATGAGGTTATTATTATTATTTAAATCAGATACATTCAGTTTATAATGTGTGTTACTACGTAAATCTTCTCTATGTATATTCAGGGCCTCTGAGAGAAATATTTTGACTGAGACTAATTAAATTTGGGTCCCCTTCCAGGCCCATAACTATAGGGAGACGAGGGGTGACTTAACTACTCCTAGAAAGTTTTGGGCTACTACTAGCAACTGTTCTAAATGAAGAAATTCTATTTAATTATTTATATTTTTTAAATAAATTTATAATTTTTAACGTTTAAATTTCAAATATTTTTGTACCTTTCTATACGTGCATAATTTAATTGTAGTATGTACTATTAAATAATGTAACTGT